CGACTGTGGGATTTTTTGGTCATGGCCAAAATGGACATCCAATGACACCCAAAACATTGGGATGGATGGAATGTGTACCCTCTGGTAAACTAACGTAACTATGGCTAATCACCACTTTTCAAATGGGTAAATCCACTATTTCGACTGACCCATTTTCAATAGCTTTTTCTATGTTTACCAGAGGCAAAATCCCATATCATCCCATTTTTTACCATGCTATTCATCACCATTTTCCTAGTAAATCACCATTTTTCCTATGGTTTTCCGACGGTTTACCACCATTTTCCATGTTAAACCTATGGATATCGCAACAGGTGAAACGCTCATCTACAGTCATACGATGGGGCTTTGCAGCTATTTCTCGGTATGTATAGTCATATATATATATATATATACAAACATAGACGTTGGAATACATATATACTCTCTGGTAAACATACAAAAAACTATTGAAAATGGCCCAGTCGAAATAGTGAGTTGTCCCACAAAATTGGTGATTTTCCATCGTTTTTTTGTATGTTTACCAGAGGGTACATACAAGTATTATGATATTGTCCTCGATGAAAGTCCGACCGGAAATGTTCTGAAAGTCGTCTGTTTCCTTCACTAATTCCCTTTGGCAAATCGAGGCCACATCCCCCGTGTTTCCTGAACCAAGTCTTGCTGGCAAAAAATGGTCTGACAGTCCACAAATGGTCATCCTGTCATCTGAAAACTTGTTGATTTTCTACTTCGCAAAAAACATAGGCTGGTTGCTGGTTTCAACCCCTCTGAAAAATATGAATTCATGAGTTGGGATGATGACATTCCCAACTGAATAGAAAGTCATAAAATTCCATGGTTCCAAACCACCAACCAGATCACCATCATATTCCCATTGTTGTTGGTTTATAGCCTATTAACCACTATTAACCACTATTAACCACCAACCAGGGATGAGTTTCCACCCATACAGTTGACCCAGAAAAAAAAAATCTCCCAGCAAGTCCTACGAACGTCGGTCGCCAACGTGCAGCCGGTCGTGCAAAGCAGCGATCAGTGCCGCGCGAAGCTGGCAACGATGCTTAAATCGACGCAGTTTTGAGACTGTCAGGTGCCCTACAGGATGGGCCCCCCCCAGTTATAAGTTGGTTTATAACCCCATCTAAATATAGTTAGAAGTATCATACACTATTGTTACTATAGTTATAAACCAACTTAGCTAACTATGGGGCCCCATCCTGTAGCCTCTGGTAAATGGGATATTTAGCCACTAGGAAAATGCTGATTTAATGGTTGACAATGGTGAATCATGGATAATCATGGGATGATATGGGATTTACCCTCTGGTAATTTGTTACAGTTTGCGACATTGGAAATTGCCATAGAAATAGTTGATTTACCCATTATAAATATGGTGATGTTCCATAGTTATGTTAGTCTACCAGAGGGTATCAAGAAGTACCTGAGGGAAAAAGGAAGTGCCAACAAGTATCACATTGAAGATATAATATGATATCATATAAGACACCTTCCGCACCATCTTTGTTTGGACGCTGCATCCACCATTTTTAAGGTCTCTATGTTTCGTGGCCAGCATCCGCATGGCTGTCTGAAAGCCAGCAAGGCGCACCCGTTATGTCTAGTCAAAAACCAAGCGAAGCATAGGGATGGAGCCGGCCAGGCTGACACCATTCGTGTCACAGCTCCATTCCCACGGTGCCACCGTGTGGATGATTTTGGAATGTTCATCCCCTCCAGTGAGAAAAAACCTGGATGTCTACATCTACCATTACTACAAGGTGGTGCCCCCCGCAGTTGTAAATTGGTTATAAACCCATGAAAACTATAGATATATCACCTATAAACCATAGTGAAATTGGAGTTATTTGCACCAACTCAGCCATCGAACGGGGGGCACCACCTTGTAGGATTATCTATTGGGTGTTGTCTAAATACCCTGGAATCCATCCCATGACTTATCAAAAATAGAATGGAGCATCCCAAAAACACCATTTTGAGATGAACCCAATACATCTCAATATCATCTTGTTGCTGAAATATACCAAATCAAAACTGCTTGGTGGTTGACATACCCCTCTGGAAAATGATGGAGTTCGTCAGTTGGGATGATGACATTCCCAATATATGGAAAAAGAAAAAATGTTTGAAACCACCAACCAGAAAAAATCTGAAGAACCCAGAAAACGCACGTAATTCATCACATCATTTGATGGTAAAACTCTACCCTTCTCTTGAGTGTGAACCCCATTAAAAAAAAAACTCTGCTCACTGCAGCACATCTGCACGGTGTAGAACGTCACGGAAAGCAGCCAGGCCGATAGTAGATCCCGGGATTCTGCGTGCTATGGGTCCAACGAAAAAATCGTATTAACTATACAATGTGGGGCCCCCAAGATAGCTAAGTTGGTGCGAATAACTTCAAAAACTATGGCATGGTTTATGGTAACATCTTATAACTATCGTTAATGGGGTTTATAAACCAACTTACAACTGGGGGGCCCCACATTGTAATATATATATATATAAGAACTAGTGTAACGTGGTACTACTTGGAAGATCATCCCACGGATCGCAAAGTGGTAAGAGGGATAATCCGTTTACAAAATCTGATCATTGACTTACCCGGCCTGGTAAACATTTACATAACGAACTGGAAAATCACCATGCTATTAATGGGTAAATCTACTATAAATCAACTATTTCTATGGGTAAATCAACTATTTCTATGGCCATTTCCAGTTCGCAAACAACAGTCATTCCCAGAGGCCCTCGGCGAATGGGGACTTACGAAATGATCCGATGATCCCCCAAAAATCGCCGGATTTTGCCGGAAAAAAATGGTTCTTTAAATGCCATGAAAAACATCTACACACCATCCATAAAAAGGTGCTTGATTGGGTTATGATCAGTTTTTTTCCACTTTGACCCACGCACAAAAACTCCAGTTCTTTGGGAAAAATCGCAATTTCAAACCAGATCCATGGAATGTTGCCGCGCTAGGCGCCCGAGCGACTGATGTCAACTTATCTCCGTTCCAGGCTACGAGCGACTGTGCAAACATGATAGCCAATTGAAGAAAAAATGGTGATTTTACCTACAGCACTACTAACTGGTTGGTGGTATACCTACCCCTCTGAAAAATATGAGTCAAATGGGATGATGAGATTCCCAATATGATGGGAAAATAAAATTAAAAATGTTCCAAACCACCAACCACTACTAATCTCGCCATTTTTATCATCTCGAAATTTCCCGGCAGCTTTTTGTTCTACTACCAATCGTCTAGCTGGAGGGCCGCGGCGCAGTGACTCGCATTTATTGTTGGTGTTTACTCAATTTCACCATGTTTTGGCTGTAATTATTTGGTGTGTCCCGCCACTTGGTTTTTGCCTAGGGATGGCCCAGTTTCTATCACTCCAGGCTGAAAGAAGTGCCAATCCAGTCCCCAAACCAGCTGAGCCATCCAAGTGCCATGGAACCTGAATCCAGTTCCTGCGTCCCAAACAAATGTTGAACCTGTTGAACCGTATCAAATCCCCGGTTGCTCAAGAAAGACTTCTCAAGACCGTCTTTTTCGTGGTTGCATCATCCGTTTGCTGACAAAACTGGAGTCCATGCGCTGCGAATTTTCTACTATCACGCTTTAAAAAGTAACAGCTACGTCGATAGCATTGCAGAGATGACAAGACAAACATCGGCAAGTTCAATCCGAGTTATGTGCTTTAATTAACATTGAAGCCAAAACATAGGAACATTTTTTCTCCAAGCACGTGTATTTATATATATATATACATATACACATATATGTATATATATACTGTATATATGTATATATACTGTATATGTATATATAATGTATAGACACATATTTAAATATGTATATAGGCATATTACTTTCTCCGACCATGAATTTCTGTTAAATGCTTGGTCCGTTTGTACTCATTCAAAAGGGATAACCAAATGCTTCTGGTGTTGATCAATACCAACAAGACACACCAGAGCTACTGTATCCGAGTGTATCCATACATGTCCGTGTTCTCTACACTCCAGTAAACTAACATCATAGGTACCCATATGATAGGAACATTAAATACCTCTGGATATAGATAATATAGATAATATACCTATGATTAATTATACGTATTACCTATCCATATGGAAAATCACCACTTTGATAGGTAAAAAAGGTAAATCATCGACAAATGGAAAATAGCTACAATAGCCATGTGAGTTTACTGGCGGATAGAACAAGTCAAAGACCCCATCACAATGTAGAATGAACTGGTTGGTTATTGAAGTTGTTGGGCCACCAGCCAGTTAACATCCAACTTGTTGCTACGTTGATTTTGCTGGTTACAGTCCTGATTTCGTTGATTACAGTCCCTCCGGTGTCATCAAACATGGTTGGAAAATCCCTGATTTCGTTCGATGATTTTCCCATGTTCAATTTGCCTCGTATAGAGGATGTTCTCATGTTCAATTCCACCTTGATTCTTGGCCGTGTTCCCATATCAACACTCTAGTTGGCAACATACTCTGCACATCAAATTGACATTAGATTCCTACAATGCGCAGTATATAAATGACTTAGGAACAATGCAAAAAAAAAACAACCGTCAGGCATGTTGAGCTATCCATTCTTCACCTGAGTTCTATATCCCAACTATTCAGCCCTGAACTGGTGGTAAATCTGCCAGTTTTTATCCGTTGTTCCTGTCGGGAGAAAAAAAAACCTTAAAAGCCACCTTTGTTTTAAGGTTTAATCCCATGAAATCACCATGTGTGTTGGCTAAATCATGCTAAATCTCATGAAAACCACCAGTTTTTACTTCAATATCCCATGAAAAATCACCATTGAATTCTTGCTTGACTAGCATTTGGTTAGAACCCTCCTGGTAGCTCCTTAGCTCCCCCTTTAAAGGGCTATATGGGTACCCCTGGCTCCTTAGCTCCCCCCCAACAGCCATGACTTTTTCATGGACCGTCCCTCTGCAGCATCAAGGGAAGCTGGCCTGGGCAGCATGGCAGCTGGCCATGGCCAAATGGACACGTTTCTTTTCACGTGTTTTTGTTCGAGAAAAAACTAACTATGTCCAGCAAAAAAAGAGCTAAACTATGTTAAACTATATTAAACTATATTAAACTATGTTAAACTGTGTTAAACTAACTTCCCTTTAAGGTTTCTCCCATTTCCGGCAGTTTCACCCGAGATCATCGGGTATCACGGGCCTGCAGCGTTGCATGAGTCCCGGTCAGGAACAAGGCCGGCACAAAGATGGTGAAGAGGACCTGCACGTTGGTCGGGCGATCGTTTTGTGAAAGATCCGCAACGCATTACTCTGTTGGGTTTATTGTAGATATAAATGTGTATATATATATATAATGTGTATATATATATATATACATATATATATATATAAAGTATGCATACATTTATATAATGTATATATATATTATAATGCATATATATATATATATATCATGAGATATCGAACTAGTTACTATGGTTTACCAAGCAAAACGTGCGGGATTCCTAAGTCATGGGGGATCCCCAACAAAACCATGGGTTTCAGAAAAAAAGTGGTCATCCATGACTTGGATGATTTGGGGGTACCCCCATGACTTAGGAAACCTCCAAATTGTATCAAGATCTCCACTGTGACTGAATTTGGTTAGTGGTTTCAATACCCCTGTATCTTGGTCATTGGGGGATTGTCGTCCCATTTATATATATATATACACACACACACATATGCTTGAGAATAAGAAATATGGTTGAAATCGTCAGCCATACTCTTTCTTGATGGTGAACAGCACTCATATTAAACCCCCATTGTTGGTGTTCACCGACTACTGCTCGGTTTACCATTTGTTCAGGTATTTATGCTGGGCAAACACTGGCTGATTGGTGGGAATTTCCATTGGTGATAAGACTCTCCTATAAACCAGGTAGGTTCATAACATGTGAGACCCCCGGGAAAAAAAATAGGGATCCTTATAGTGGGTACATAAATCCCAACGAAAATAGACTAATGACCAATCCGTATGGGAAAATGAAGCAGCTTGGCTATCATAAATTATAAATCCCATGAAATCCCCCAATTGTTCTTGGTTAAATCACCATGTTTCTATGGTTTTCATATCGTTTCCCATCAACACCATTAAATGCCAGTGATAAATCACCATTAAATCCCACTAAATCACCATTTTCCCATGGTTTTCAGAGTGATTTCCGGGTTAAAACCCTTGGTTCTTCTCCTTTCAGGGACCGCAACTCCACCGTCCCTGGCCCGCCGTGATCAAGGTGTTCTTGCCACCCGTGAGGACGCCCTTGTTGTGCAAGGTGATCATAAAGAGCGCCATGCTGGACCTGTGACTTTCGGATGACTACCATCTGGTAATTTAACGTAGCCATTGAAAATGAGTTTTTAATAGTGGATTTTCCCATTAAAAATTGTTATTTTCAATAGCTATGTTAAATTACCAGAGGGTACACCATGAAAAGAAGATGAAATATCTATGACATAGATGATGATTATTGTGAAGATTAAAACAAGCATATATGATCATATTAATGTATATATGAATATACCAAAATCCCGGCAATTAATGTTTCATTCACTCATCAACCCACGGTTTCGCGCTGAGACTGCTCATATGAAACTCCACCAAGCTGCATGAAAAGACCGGTGAGTCTCACATCAGCAATCGTCCAGGCCTCACATCAGCAATCGACCGGTGGTGCAGTTGCGGATATTAAGAAATATATCCTCCGGTAATCAAACATGACTGGCTGGAAAATCTCCCATTTATTGGCTGGATGTTCCTTATTCAAAGCTCGATTTCCATGGGATTTCCAATCGCCAAGCCATGTTTGATGACACCGGATGGGATGTTTCACCATGGTACCATGGCAATTATAAGTTGGGATATGGGGTCCCAACTTAGCTATGATCATACATCCAAGTAAAACTGGAACTCCACCCAGTTTTGTGTCATATGGCTTGGTCTAAAAATTATACACGCACACTCTATGGCAAATACTGGACATAGTGAATTGTGTGGGTCCATTACCTTGCCAAACTTAGATACGAGCACCCTACAACAAAAAAAAACTTAGCTGGTTAGTGGATAGTCCCATTGATAGCAAAAAAATAAAAATATATAAAAATAAACTACCCATCCAAGGTTGACCAAGATTATAGTATAGTACCACTTTGGAGACATACAGTAGCCTTTCTTAGCACGCAACAAAGGTTGAGCCTCAGGTGTGCTGGGTGTTGGAAAATCCACCATCAACAGAAGCGGTCGTGCAAAAAATGAGAGGATATCCCTGTTTATTGGTCATATACCCTCTGGTAAACTAATATAACTATTAAAAATTGCCATTTGTAGTGGATTTACCCATTGAAAATGGTGATTTGTAGTGGATTTACCCATTGAAAATGGTGATTTGTAGTGGATTTACCCATTGAAAATGGTGAATTTGTAGTGGATTTACCCATTGAAAATGGTGATTTGTAGTGGATTTACCCATTGAAAATGGTGATTTGTAGTGGATTTACCCATTGAAAATGGTGATTTGTAGTGGATTTACCCATTGAAAATGGTGATTTGTAGTGGATTTACCCATTGAAAATGGTGATTGTCCATAGTTATGTAACAAATTACCAGGCCGGGTACTACCATCATTCATCCGTCAAACATGACTGGAAAGTCCCCCCGACAATTTTCGGTTTTTCTGCAGATAAAATAGCTGGGAAGATCATCCATGGCTGATATTCTAGCCATGTTTGCTTGCCAGAGGGTACCCTCTGGTAAACGTTTACATAACTATGGAAAGATCCACCATTTTTAATGGGAAAACTCACTATAAATGGCCATTTTCAATAGCTATGTTAAATTACCAGAGGGTATGTATATTGGCATATTTTAAGGATAAATCTGGGTAAAATATAATAATTCACTAACCTGAAATAAGGCCATAAGAGGATATGATTTCCCTAAAATAAACCATGATTTCCAGTGAGGGAGAACAGTGAGGTCGTTATAATTTAGCCAGATATATTGGATAAATATCCATTCACAAATTCCCAGCTTGATGTTTTATGGCACCAAAGACCTCTGCTAGGAGATGGTACCAGCACCGTTTGAACAGTTTATGGCTTGCAACCCAGTTACACACCAGTTACATCCATTTACCAACCGCTTGTTAACCTGGGTTATTTGTATCTCATGGATTACAACCCAATGAAAATTCACATCCTGAAGGTCCTGAAGAACTCTAATACTTGAAAGCACATCGTGAATTGTTGGCACCTTTGCTTATACATCATTGTACTGGGAATAACCAAGTGAACTAAAAAAAATCGTGATGTACTGGAAATGATCATCCTGAAAAAACCTGAAATAACCATTGTACTAGTGTACCAAGTGCACTTATACATTTAAAAAAAAAACACTCTGGGGAGATTATTCTGATTATTATTGTGAATCTTTACCTTACAATCATGGTAACCTCTGGTAAGGGAACCTTTATTGTACTTGGAACCTTTTTGTAACCTCTGGTTCTGGGGAAATTATTGTGATTCTCACATCTGAAATCAACCAGCTTTGGTCGGCCGGTTCGAGTTCGTTATGGTCGTTTGGGGATTGTCCCCATCTCCAAAAAGGGTGAAGTCCTAATAATCCAATTTTCTTCCAGGGAAACCAACCGATTGGATGCGAGTTTGGAAAATTACCATTGAGTAGCAACGTTGCTGAACATGTGGTAATCGGATTGAAGCATGAAAAAACACGAGAACAGTAGTTTACAACTTATTGAAATACACTCATTTCAGATGAATGAACAACCCTTCTAAATCTTTCATGGTCGATCGCAGTCTGCTACTTCGCTGGTTGGTTGGTTATATGATGTTATATGTTTCATTTACCGGTCACAAAAAACTCAAGGATTGGTTTCTACCCATCAACACATGGCGTCATCAATTCTTGGCATCTTTCGCCCAGCTGCTTGGTCCGGTAGGTCCACCACCACGTGCTCCCAGTACCTCATGGTTTGTTCGTTAAAAAATGAGGGGATGGTCATCCCCAATGTTACTAATGTGACTAATGTCACTAAATGTAACTATGATAATCATCCCGGATATGTTACTAAAGCACCAGCATACACCAGCCATGTGTTGATGGTTTATAGCATTGATGGTCAATTGGGGGCATGGTTTACTGTTGCGTTGCCACGTTTATTCAACAAAAATTGGACAATAACCCATGCTTTAGACGTGACACATTGGTTCTTAATCCTCAAATATAGGGGAACGTGGTGACAACTTGGAATGACCGAACAGACGTAACATGATTTAACTATCGAAATCAGGACAAATTTTGGTTCAGATTCCTCTACATTTTTTAGCGTCTGGAGATGTAGAATATCCCGAAATGGTCAATAGAGATGAATTTTGGGGTACCCCATTTTCAGACAAACCATTGTTAAAGACGAAATCTAATATTCACCGGTCGGAGTTCCCATTTTTGCTGGCAAATTTCCCACATTTTGCTGGTCACTTTACGTGGCCCCTTAACCTATCACTTAGATGTGCATTTCACCTCTGGTAAACTAACATAGCTATTGAAAATTGTCATTTATAGTTGATGTACCCATCAAAAATGATGATTTTCCATCGTTCTTTAGCACTAGATATGAGTGGTGATTAGCCAACTATGATCTTGAAAAATCATGATTTGCTGAAGTAATTTCAGGAAAAGAAAGCACTGTAAAGTCTGGTTAAATCACGATTAAATAACTGTTCAGTTATTATATACAAGCAATTTCGCCAGATAATACTAAATCCCCATTATATCCCAATGAAATACTGCTCGACCAGGAGTTTTCTTCAAAGGTCGTGAAACCCCTAAGTCCCATTAAAATATCATCAAACCATGACTTCTGAATGATTTCCTCATATGATTGATGGTTAAAAAACTCCAAAGTTGAATCCTAAACTCAACCCATCAACGGTGAATTAAGTCCAACAAAAATCAGGCTTAAGTTCCATTCTTATTGGAAAAACATATTATAAAACCCCCATAAAACCATATAAAACATTGATCTCCCCAGCTTTTATATGGTTTTATGGGGGTTTTATAACATGCTCCAGTTGTAACCAGTGAAAGTCATCAACTGGTTGGTGGTTTTTCGCCCCCTCGGAAAAATGATGGAGTTCGTCAGTTGGGATGATGACATTCCATTCCCAACTGTTTCTGGAAAGTCATAAAATAAATTCCATGGTTCCAGTCACCACCAACCAGATCACCATCATATTCCCATTGTTGTTGGTTTATAGCAACATTAACCACTATTAACCACTATTAACCACTATTAACCACCAACCAGGGATGTTTTTTCATCCCCCCGAAACCCACGTGGCCCGTTCCGAGCCACTGCGGATCCAGCCATTGATTCATCATGTCCACTGTATCGAGCCAATGGAAATACCTGGGATGTTTCCGGCAGGGTCAAAAAAAAGTGGCTGCAAAAATGGCAAAAAAAAACCTTGGAAAATCTGGTGAATCATGGTCAATAATGGATTAATAGTGGCTTAGCAGTGGTTAAGTGTTGGATATTCAATGGGATTTAGCGGATAATCCCCTCAAGGGACTAATTAACCCATGCAATGACCCAGAACCAACAGAAATTGATGTGTCTGAAAATGAGGTATGCCGTATACCACCAAAAAAAAGGAAGTTCGAAAAGGAACATTGCGGTTTTAAGCCATCAAGGTTTTGAGACAACCCCAAATTTGACCGCAAAAACACTCAACTTGGATCCTGGTTGGTGGTTTCAACCCTCTGAAAAATATGAAAGTCAGTTGGGATGATTCTTCCCAAGAGATGGAAAGTCATAAAAACCATGTTCCAAACCACCAATCAGCTAAACTTGGATCCGTTCAAGGACAAAAAAAAGCGGTTGTTTCAACCCCCGTTGGTTGATGGAAAAAACCCACCGGTTTCCTGCTGAGATCTCTCCAGTGTTGGTTTACCCGGATGATAGTTGTGATTCTCATAAACCTTTGTTCACCAACTCATTTGCACCAACTTAGCCTTAAATCAGCTCAAAATCCCATTCAATCCCAGTTTTTGTTGTTGAAATCATGTTAAATCAGCTAAAAAACATCAAAAAACCCATGAAATCCCAGTTTTTGGTCGGTTAAATCACCCAAAAACGGCGCAAAAAATCCGGGGCCATATGCGGCCACGACGTTCGGAACGCCCAGCGACATGAGTCCAACGAGTCCGGGCACATAGTAGGGCCGAAATCGGTCCTGCTGGGATCCATTTTCGAACGGAAAAAGCCATGGGAAATAGATGGGAACAACATGGGAAATATATGATGTATATATATATATATACCCGCCAGTAAATTAACAGTTCGACCCTGGCAGATATGATAGGGGTTGGAAGATGAGTTTCCATTGAAAATTGGTTATTTTCAGGGTCTATGTTTATTTACCAGAGGATAATATTCCCTATCAATGGTGGGATAATAGTGGTTTTCATCATGTTTCATTTGAGGACATATTCCATGGATATGGGAGTGACTAATTATTAATGATCTATAGGAATATGTAAGCATTATTATGATGGGATAATAGTGGCACATGGCCAAGTTGTCGTTTTTTCAGGCCAAAAACGATCGGAAGCAAATATTTCATTGTTGGGAAGCAGGAGATCAATGGGTATATCATTGATCTGCTATGATCTGATGATATCCATCACCTATTTGGTGGTTTCAACCATCTTGAAAAATATGATTTCGTCAGTTGGGAAGGATTATCCCATTTATGAAATGGAAAATAAAAAATGTTTGAAACCACCAACCAGATTATCTACATATAATCCTATAGATAATGTTGGTACATAATGTTCATAAATCTCCCAAGCCATTCCTAAGCAAAGCCAGTGGTTATTTTTTCACTGCTGAGCAGAACTGGATCATGGCCTGTCTGGCCCGTTCAGATCTTATCACTGGGATAATGTGATCCCCCTAATATTAAACACCCTCCATAAACCATTGTTTACTAGGGGGTAAAACCACATGTTTGGGACTGTGCAATGGGGGTACTGAATATTATTGGATTGTTTCACGACCATGTTTGATTGTCGGTTCGCTATATCCCTCAATATATCCCTTCAAAAACCCTCACTAGATCCCCAAAATATTCCGATATCTGCCCATATTTTCCCACGATTTTCCCATGGTGTCCCATGGTTACAAAAACCACTTCCTCACTTCCTTTATCATGAGAGATGATGCTGTGCTTCATACAAGGTGGAGTCCCAGTTGACGACAGCTAAGTTGGTGCAAATAGTTTGGTTAAGTAGTAATTATTACTACGTATGCTGGTTGGTGGTTTCAACCCCTCTGAAAAATGTTCGTCAGTTGGGATTATTATTCCCAATACATGGAAAAATAAAACATGTTCCAAACCACCAACCAGTATATAGTTCATGGTGTTTGTGAAGCAACTTATGACTGGAGGGCTCCAGCATTACATGTATCTCAGAAATAGCCTGCAGGTCAGTACACTGCACCCATGCTGTGGGCAATATGGAGCTTTCCTAATGGCTGGGAGTAGCCTTTTTTATCCATGTGGGTCTTTCTCTGTCAAAAAAATATTCAACTCAAAGCATAGTTCACCTAAAACTGATGAAGAACAAGACTCCATTTAGATGATTTTAGATGGGGATTGTCCATGAAATCAACCAGGAAACCCCATTTTTGTACCCCAAAAAGTTCCGACTCAAGTTGTCACGGAGGCCGAACTCCTCCACAAAGTGCCTGTACCTCTTCGATTGGCGAAAAATGGCAGTAAATCTGCCAATAGAACTGGGGAACATGAAATCTGCTACAAAGTGAATTTCACATGATTATGGAAAATAGCCAAATTATGAATGATTTACCTTTTATCTATTGAAAATGGTAATTTTCCATGGCTATGTTAAATAACCAGAGGGTAGATATGTACATATCTATGTAAACTAGATAGAGCAGATAGACAAACACACATGAAGCAAGAATATGAAAAGCTTCTGAAAAAATGACACAGCAATTAAATAGCACAGGAATCCCATCGGATTTGGGGTGGGCTCAGTTTCAAAAAATGAATGAATTGATCAGCTGCTTTTCTACAATTTTCTACCCATTGCTATCCGATCTACCATCCATCACCAACCGACACTGCTCTGCTCCCCTCGCGCACATTCGCTCGATCCAGTGCTTGTAGAAGTAGATGCTGCTGGCCAAGAACACAACTCCTGCAGATCTGAAATCACACATGTTCATCTCAATGATGACCTGCAGCCATGGTAGGTTTTGTTGGAGAGATCTCAGCCATAGGCGACAACACGATGTTATACGTAAGAAATTATAATGAGTTATACGTAGTGGCAGAATATTAGAATTATTTACATACATATTACATTATACATATATATATATATATAATTATATATAATTATATATATATATATATACTATGTGGGATATTGGCTTACTCTCTGCAAATAAAACCCATGAATGGACAAACAGAAAGCAATTTGTCACCAAACCAACGCAGCAACAGTGGCTTTCCGGTTGCGGGTCCTGTGGGATAAACCCAGTGGCTAAAAATGGCTGGATTGGTCGCTGCCAACAAGTGGGCGATGTAGTAGATGCACCATCCTGGGTGACTTACGGTGACGCTGTTGGAGAATTCTTCAAGCGATGAATCTGGGAGATTTTCCATAGAAATGGCCCATAGAAATAGATGGTTTTTACCGAACTTAATAGCATGGTGATGTTCCATGGCGAACTGTTAGTCATAACCAGATGGTACACTGGTTGGTTTATAGGGATTCCCCTATTGTATTATTGTAATCCCCAATCTACTGGATAGTATAATCCCCTATAATTATCAACCAACAGGGGTTTTGAACACTGCTCAACTGGCAGGATATATCCCATGGATACTGGAATGATACTTGGGATATAAACTATTATGGCACATGCAGCATATATCTGATAGTCAGTCTTCAGAATATATCCGAATTAACAATGTCCGATCTGATGTCTAACATAGTCTAACTGGATATGATATGCTGTGAAAACTGGGCCGCTACCATCAAGGTGCCTGGATATCATAGGGAAACTCTGGGATACAGTTCGCTAAGTTGACGCACTTAGCAAACTTGCTGAACTCTCACCTTAATTTTTTGGGGTATCACATTTTCAGAGTTAAACCGGTCCAATATGGTTCAACCATGTTCAACCTGGTTAAACATGACTATATAAACATGGTTAAACATGGCTAAACATCATTCCCGAAGGCTCTTGAAAAGCCATGGGGAAAATCTCTTCAAAACAAAAAAGCGACGCAGAAAAACTGGAGATGATCATCTCTACGGGCGCCCGGATGGATATGGCAACGCCCCTGGGCCAAGTTGTGTCACCCCAAGCTGACTGCTTGGAAAAGATCAGGATTTTTAGGGTGTTTATGATGATAATCCGAATGAGCCCAAAGTAAACAGCACCACATCTCGATAGAATTGGTAACTATCAACCACTAACCACTCAAGACTTGTCGGCCGGCATGGGTCCCGTGGTGGCATAGAAGGTCACTCGGAAGTGTGGTGCCAACGTTCGGATTCCATCAAACCTGGCGAGAAGGATTTGATCAGATCCCCCACACATCTGGGAGGTTTCCACAAATGGTGGTACCCTCTGGTTATTTAACATAGATTTAACATAGCCATGGTATAGATGGCCCATTTATAGATGATTTTCCCATTGAAACCTCCATTTATTAGAGATTTTCCATGGCTATGTTAAATAACCAGAGGGTACCCCATAATCAATGGATTGGTTTAAGGGAAAATTTTAAGAGGAAAACCCCATATTTAATGGGAAAATAACTCTGGTTTCCTGTAGATGTCCCAACAAAACCAATCCATTGACATAAATGGTGGTACCCCAAAATGGAGAAAATGGATGGTTGATTTCATGGAAAATCCCGTTAAAATGGAGAATTTAGGGGTACCCCCATGACTTAGGAAACCTCCATATCCAATTTCCATCAATGTCCCATATTGTTTCCAATCCACGAGGGGTACCCCCAAATCATCTCATATTTCCATTATTTCAATGGGAATTTCAGGATCCTAAAATGGAGGTACCTACCATATATAAGGCCTATATAAGGGCTATGTAAGGGGATATCCCCCTAAAATATTGCCTTATATGGTACAGTACCTCCATTTTAGGATCCTGAAATTCCCATTGAATATTTTCTTGCAGGGTTGTCCATTGTATTGGGGATTCATGTGCCAAACTCGTCTCCATATCATCACAGCCCAGCTGCAAGGAGATACAGTAATTGCCCTCTGGTAATTTAACATAGCTACTGCAAATGGACATTTATAGTTAATTTACCCATAAAGAATGGTGGTTTTCCATAGTTATGTTAGTTTACCAGACGGTATCCAAGCAACTTAGTTTCAATTTCACGAGATTTTACCGCTGTGAACATCACAACATGCGTCATCATTAGCCGTAGAAAAAGGATCTTCATCCCGCCAATAGATTTATGTTTCACCCTTATTGACCCATGCCTTATCAATAATGGTTAAACTAAGTTAAATTGTAATGAGTTTAACCAACCTGAAAAATTCGGCCTTTTACCTTCGGTGGTTTTTACTCATCCCCACATCCCCCTATGATCTCCCAGAGCCTCAGTGTAGCCTGTAAACTCAGGTAGATCTGGTGTTTACGCAGGATCTGGTACCCATGAAAATAGATATTTTTTGTTTAAGATGATTTATAGATGATTTACCATCCTGCAAAGATAGCGTAGACTGTGGAAAACCATTAAAAACACCCAGCAGTTGTAGATCATTTTCCGACAAAAACCAGCCAGGTGTTCCACATCTCTATGGGATTTACCCGTTTGGGCCCTCGTGAGATCGCACCTGGAAGCATAGATCACGGCATAGATCAAGGCAGCAGCATAGCACTCCAGGTCCGAAGGTGCTTGACCCAAGCAGAACCTCGTAAAGGCCCGTCTCTCCGCCCTAAAAACGACCAGGGGAGAAGGGGGGAGAAGGCCCGGATGGATGTTGAAAAGGTCGACCACAGACCCTCCGGTAAACTATAAATGGTCGCGACATGGTGGCGACATGGTTTTAATCTAGATGGCTCATTTAGGTCGTTGATGGTTTCCGCAGGTGCCGTGCTCAAAAGATGGGAATCCTCCAATATGGCCATTACAAGTTCCTAGTGATATGAGAATCCTCCAATATGGCTATACAGTCCAATCTCATCCAATAGATGGCTCTATATATATATATACATAATGTGTATATATATATATATACTGGTTGGTGGTTTCAACCCCTCTGAAAAATATTAGTCAGTTGCGATTATTCCCAATATATGGAAAAAAATAAAATGTTTCAAACCACCAACCAGAATTAAATTAAACAACCAACAATATGATTTAACCAACTATAATGGAATAAGCCCTTATCCCATTATAATTGTTAAACAATTGTGACAACATTGCTTATAAACCCTTATCTTGGATTTGCTCAGCAAATCAAGGTATGGATTCCGGCATGCTTTTAGATTGATGGGTAAACCAACTATTTGTATTACCATCTTCAATAGCTTTTTGTATGTTTACCTGAGGGTAAATCCCATATCATCCCATTATTCACCATTGTTAACCCATTCTAACAAACCATTAAATCACCGTTTTTCATCACCATTTATAGTGGTTAAATCACCATTTTCTATATGGTTTTCCTGTGGTTTACCACCATTTTCCATGTTAAACCATGTTAAACCCAGCGTTCCTGCATTAAAATCACCATAGTGTGTTGGTTCAAATCACAATTTATGGCAAAATCCTTCGTGGTTCAATCATATTCAATCACCATTTTCATGAGTGAAATCACCATGTTCCTTCAGTAAAATCACCATTTGTTTGGTGCTCAAACACCCAAGTTGTTGGTATTTCCAGGCCTCACCAGCTCATAGAGAAAGAGAACCCCTGAGGCGCCACAGGAGATTCCGTGCACGTTGGGCCTCGGATGGTGGTGTGTTGGCTACCTTAAAAATTGGGACTACCCTCTGGTAAACTAACATAGCTATTGAAAATGGCCATTTGTAGTGAGTTTTCCCATTAAACATGGTGATTTTCCATAGCTATGTTAGTTTACCAGAGGGTAGTGATTCAGTATGATTCAGAGGTTCAAGGCTCACAGGAATTGGAAAGAATCCATAATGATTCAATATGATTCTGATATGATTTCAATATGATAAAATTAAGGAGGGAAATTATGGTGATTCAGCTTCTGGAGCTGATCCATAACTAGCTGAAATTCCCAGCTGTACTGAATTGGTGAAATCTCATGTCACATTTTTTTCTGGACGAAATCTCCCATTTTTAGTGGCTAAATCACCGTTTTGATGTCTTCATTAAAACCACAGCTATTTTCTTCTTTAAAGCACCCCCTTGGTGGCGAACTACCCACTCACTTAGTAAGTATATAGCTTATAACCCTATGTATAAGTGGATTAACCTTACTTATCCCACTGAAAAACCGGGGATATAACCTATTTAGGATTCGTGGGGTGAACCACCAAGTCACCATTCCTAACTACATCTTTAATTGTTATCAATGGTTTTTAATGCTTATATTTAACCATATTTTCCCAGTATTAACCATTACTAACCACAGAAGGACATTATATCCCATCATTATCCCATGATTATCCCATTATCATCCTATTATCATCCTATTATCATCCTATTTTCCCATCATTTTCCCATCATTACCCTTTGGTAATTTAACATAACTATGGAAAATCACCATAGAAATAGTGATTGTTCCCATTTAAAATGGTGGATCTTTCCATAGTTATGTTAGATTCCCAGAGGGGAAATTGCATTGTCATCCCATTATTCACCATTGTTAACCATAGAAAATCACCATTCATAGTGGTTAAATCACCATTTTCCTATGGTTTTCCTACCTAATCATCGGTAAAAACACCCGTTGATGAAACCGGTGCTTCCGCTGGGCTCCCGCGCCAGTCCAGCTGCTCCAGCCTCAACCCGCCCTGCGCATCCTCCATGGGCCGTTGCGACCAGTGCGGGGTGTCCACGTCGCGGCCCGCCACGCCTTGGGGTGTCCACGACTGGGATCATACTGACTAGTTACCATATGTTACACCCTTGAGTGGTAGGTCATCTTTCGGATTTTGGTGGCTATATATATATATATATATTGGTATTACGAATACAGTATATGGGTTATATATATATAGCTCATGTATGGGATATAAGTTATATCATATATCATATTATATATATATAGTTTATAACTCTAAGAACAAGGCTTTACCCTCCAGTAGATTAACATGACGTTAATTTACCAGAGGGATGCAGTTAATTCATGGTGAATTCAGTCTGGTGAATCATCCATGGTGAATGGATAACAACAGTGATTACTGTAATGTTTAATAATGATTAGTAATGGTTACTAATGATTAATAGTGGCTATTGATGGTCAATGATTGTTATTAATGGTGATTAATGTTGGTTGATAATGATTATCATAGCATATCATAGCCAATGATGGTTAATATTATCATCAATGATGGTTATTAATGGTCAATGATGGTTATTTAATTTTGGCTAATGATGATCAATATATAATGGTGATTACTGGTGATAACCCATGTTTTTTGTGGATTCGTCCTAGATCCCTTGGCTAAATTCAATGTTCATCATCTTTTGATTCACTGTTATCTGATGGCCATTTATGGGAGAAAAAAACAAGGTTCAAACAAACCCATACAATCTATCTATCCCAGTTTCAAAACATCTACAGTACTTCCGGGTGCATCCCTGAAGTAAGTTTAGGCATGGGTATCCAGCAATTTCTGGTGTCCCTATTGAGATAGATTCGCCTTTTTCACATATTTGGAAAGCCCATAAAATTATCGTCCCAGAATTTGTTTCAAGGAAAATCTACAGGAAAACGCAATAATGTCATATCTCTTCGGTAGTTTTTTTGTATCCATCCTTTCCCGAAAGTTTCCATCCATCCATGGACATACCCTCTGGTAAACATACACAAAGCTATTGAAAATGGCCCAGTCGAAATAGATGATGAATCCCCATTTTCATAGCATGGGTGGATCTTTCCATCGTTTTTTGTAGCTTTACCAGGCCGGGTAAACCTTGATACTTGTCCCAGGTGTCCAAGTCACCAATGTCTTGGATCTCCTGGACGCCGGCGGCAGAGGAAGTAATCCCAAAAGCTACCTGGGTAAGGATTGGTTTTATAGTAGATATATCATGATATATCTAAAATTAGATGTGTATATGATAGATATATATCCAAAGTTATATAGTCTTATGATATATCTAAGGTTAGATGGCTATATGATGGATATATCTAACGAAAGATTGTGTTGAAAACCAACAAACATAATTGTTGTTTAGATGTTAGTAGATAGACCACCTGACCGCCAATCTTTTCATGGTTTATAAAGTTTATAAAGTTTATATAGATTATCGATAAACAAGGCAACAGTGGGAATGGTTTTACTCCCTTTAGATGATTTTAGCCGTAGTTCTCGGCATTTTGGGGAGCAGTTATCCATCCGAAAATTATCAGTCAATCGAGGCTGGGGAATGTTGCAGCACATGCAATCGACCGTGTTTCTTGGAAACCCCGTTGTCGGGAAAATTCAATCTTGATCATGACAGAGGTCATCTTGTAGAAAGACATATAACGAACATGGCTACAGGAAGGGCCCCCCAAACTCTATGTTTGTTGGCTTATTACCCCATCTAACTAAACCTATAACTGGTTGGTGGTATACCTACCCCTCTGAAAAAATGATGGAGTTCGTCAGTTGGGATGATAAAATAAAATTCCCAACGGTTTCTGGAAAGTCATTCAAAATTTCATGGTTCCATTATTGATTACTATATCATAATATCCCATTATATCCCATTAAAAACACCATTATATCCCATTAAAATTCCATGGTTCCAAACCACCAAGCAGATATCAATATCCCGTATATCCCCGAAAAAAAGCCCAGCAGTTCACCAGATGGCAAGCCTATCCCAAACAGGCTCCTCTGGCACATCAAGCCCCGTTGACACCTACATTTTTTCGGACCGTGGGACCGTTGTGTCATAAGCAATGAAAAATGTGGGGATTTTTATGAGTTTTACGGAAATGTACGGGATTTCATAACTATCAACGAATGGGGATTTAATAGGATCTAATGGGTATTTATTCACGATCAACTCATGGATTTTTGGATCTCAATGGAATTTTGCTGGGATTTAGCTGGGATTTACTGCGTGTTGTGACCTGGGATGTGGAATTTCATGGGATTTTTGCTGAGATTTCTGTGATCTCCCCTGATGGTTTCTGTAAACTTGGGGACCTCAAGTTCTCATCCAATGGATTGGTCTTTCGATGATTTTCCCCTGAGAAAAGGCTTGATGAAATCACTGGAAAACCATAGGAAAATGGTGATTTCACCACTATAAATGGTGATGAAAAATGGTCAACAATGGTGAATTTCATGGGATGATATGGGATTTACTCTCTGGTAATTTGTTACATAGCGAACTGGAAAATCACCATTTCCATAGGTAACTCCTCTATAAATGGGCCATGGCTTCCATAGCGAACTGTTAGTTTACCAGAGGGTAAGTTTGCGGCGGTGAGAACATCTCCACCATTTCGTTCAATGATGTTCCCACTAAACCTGAAATGTGGATTTCCCAGCTAGCCATGTTAACACCCAAGGGTACGAGATAACAGTTCTTACCATCAGAATGGCATCGAGGATGTAGCATTGTAAAATAAATAGAGTAAGAATCAGTAAGAATAAAAATAGGTCGTAAGAAGAATAGAGATATCCTCTGGCTTTAATCAACAAGTAGTTAGTTTAAGATTTATTGAATGGTGGTTGAGCCATCCTTCCCCTTAAAAATAAAAATGAAAATAAACTTCCCAGCTTTTCGATCTGAGAATCAAGCTTGGAGTAGCAAGAGATGTTTTTTTTGTTTTATTCTTTTGTATCCAGAAATGGGGCATAGTATGCTTGATCATCCCCTTTGCAAAGTGCTTAGAGTTTATCGGCGTATAACATCTTATAACCAATTGCAAATGGGATACCCTCTGCTAAACTAATATATCTATGGAAAATCACCATGCTATTAATGGGGATTCATCAACTATTTCGACTGAGGCTACCCTACTGAATGGGGACCTGGCTGATCACCAGGGTAGCTGGTGGGGTCATCCCCCAAGTGCTATACGATGGCCGGGGGGTGACCCCTAAACCGCTTCCGTTCATCTGGGAGTACCCGGCCTGGTAAACCTACAAAAAACGGTGGAAAATCACCATGCTTTTAATGGGTAAATCCACTATTTCGACTGGGCCATTTTCAATAGTTTTTTGTTTGTTTACCAGAGGGTAGACTGAGTAGACAGAAGTTTTTTCGCCATGCCATGCAATGGAATATCCTTCCTAAAGCTCCCGACATCAGTCGCAGTTATGGATATGTCCAAGTCCCAAAATCTCCATTTCCTATTGATACAGATGCCAATGCTTTGGTCGGTATACGTATGTTTGCGAATAGCCAATTTTTGCTGCTTGCATCTTCGAAAGATCTCCATTTCAGCTGTTTTTTAAAACGCCTCGTACATCCTCGTACCAATTCTGCTGGATGGTGGATGTCCCATGTTTTTCCGGTTACAAAACCCGAATTTCCAACAACGAAGTGCGAAAAAAACGACAAATCTTTCGCCTGCCTGAACCCCTCTACTAGGCGTGGCAGTCTGCGGGGTCCTCCGGGGGGTTGACCGTCCCCGGAAGTCAAGGAAAAGAAATAATATTGATGATTATAGTTGGTTATTACCCTCTGGTAAACTAACATAAGTATGGAAAATCACCATGCTACTAATGGGTAAATCAACTATAAATTGCGATTTTCAATAGCTATGTTTGTTTGCCAGAGGGTATCCGTATGTGTATATGTATAATATGTTACTTATAATTAGTTGGTTATTACTGCATATATATCTCTATATATAATTTCCCCATTGAATATCCCAATCACCATGATATATCCATATATATATATATATTCCCCATTGAATATTACATTAGATCCCCCAATGTTCAATGTGTTTTTACGCATGCAACCTTGACCATGGCACCTTTTTTGGTGGTTGAACAACATCCTCACACGGAATCTCCCGTTTGAGTTGGATGATCTCAAAACATCCAATTGAAACAGCCAATCGGATCTTCGGTGTTTATTAAAATATACCCTCTGGTAAACAAACAAAAAACTATTGAAAATGGCCATAGAAATAGTGGATGTTCCCATCAAAAATGGTGATTTTCCATTGTTATGTTAGTTTATATTTTTACATTATATGTTTTATATGGAACCATGAAGTCAATATGAGATAAATATGATTTATGGAATCAATATCAATATCATAGTTATGGTTACATATCATTATTACATATTATATATATATATTCCATAAACATCCACATGATATCTCCAAATCTCCATGTGTTTCGCAAGAAATCTGCATTTTTAACTGCCATCTCTTATCTGGTTCGTGGTTTCAACCCCTCTGAAAAATATTAGTCCATGGGAAGATTCTCCCATGTATTATGGAAATAAAAAATGTTCCAAACCACCAACCAGCTCATAGTTTTAATCCCATTCTGTTTGGTTTCTCCCCATGTTCCCCCCACCCTTTGGCCACGTTGGTGTCCTATGTCGTCGCTTGGCCACGGCCCTCGCCGATCTTCTGGCCTCATATATGGAGATCATGGGGGATACAATGGGATAAACCATGGGAGCAACTTAAGATCTCTTAAGATATGCCAACTTGGGATTCATGACATATCATGAAAAAAACAACAAGAGATTTTAATCGTCTAATTATATATATATAGGGATAGTCTGGGAGAATCATGCCATAATTTTTAGACTGGGTGAATCCAGAGATAAAGTTTTCAGCTGTGACCCACCAGGACGACAAAAGTTGTTTGCTGATTCCACGATTTCTGTCACAAAAAACGAATGTCAATCTCTGTGCAAGCAACGCCTTGCTGCAATCCTCTTTTCGATTCGATAAGATCGTGAAAAATGGCCCAAAAATAAATCATAAAAATGATGAGTTACCTATTAGAAATGGTGACTTTCCATAGCTTTGTGAAATAACCAAAGGGTATATAGGTTTTTTTTAAAGGCAGATGGGTAAAATCCTAGCAAAATGATGGATTTTTTGGGAAAACAATGGATATCAATGGATATAGGTTTATCATCGTTTATCTTTATCTGAACATGGGGTATGTGCTACAGTATGCCATAAAAATCAGATGTTTCCTTCTCAACTCAGGTGATGTTCAAGGCGACGGCGCCCAAGGAGGGGCGAGACTGTTGTCACTTTTGCAAATTGTTTTTTTTTTGGGGGGGTTGGGGGGGTGTAATAGCGTCCTGTGGTCTGCGTTGTCAATAGCCATTTCCTGCTACTTTGTAACATCTTCTGTAAGTAACTTGCAAGACGTTCCTGATACGTTATAACATCCTCTTCAAGTAACTTTCAAAGCGTTCCTGATGCGTTGTAACATCTTCTTCAAGTAACCTTCAAGACGTTCCTGATACGTTGTAACATCTTCGTCAAGTAACTTGCAAGACGTTCCTTATACGTTGGAACATCTTCGTCAAGTAACTTGCAAGACGTTCCTGATACGTTGAAACATCTTCTTCAAGTAACTTGCAAGACGTTCCTGATACGTTGTAATATCTTCTTCAAGGAACTTGCAGGACGTTCCTGATACCTGATACGTTGTAACATCGTCTTCAAGTAACCTTCAAGACGTTCTTGATACGTTGTAAAATCTTCATCAAGGAACTTGCAAGACGTTCCTGATACAAGTTTTGCGGATGGTGCGCAAGCTTGATCCACAGTGATCAAAGAAGAATAGCCGAGATGTCGAGTGGAACATGTGCGCCACAAAGATGGACAATTTACAAATATTTTCCCAAATGGATCCAAAGAATCACGCGTAGCAGGCACACAGGTCATTGACCGAATTTGGGATCATATGAAATCATACATCCCACGTACTCTCTCTTCAAGGAAATTAAATGTACATGGAACAACCGCTGCCTTGATGAAATGGCAATGGTTGCACGAAGTGTTAGCTCCTGGCTACTCCCTATGGGATCAGTTAGGAAAGCTTTGTAAAAAGCACAACAACAGAGTTGGACTATGGCGTCTCGTATGAAGATGAGAAAAGAGTGACGATTGTCCACTTTCAGAAACGCTGAAAGCGCCGCACTTCTACAGGCGCCGTAACCATGTTCAACTTTTTGGTGGAATCTATAGCCGCCAACGGTCCCAACAGTTCCAGTCTCAGGCCGCCGAGCCAACAAGCAGAGGGCAGCAACGCCGCTAGTGGCCATCGACGAGGGACCTGGCACCGGTGGCCAGGAGTTTAGCCACGGAAGTTTAGCCACGGGAGTTTAGCCGAAAATGGTGATTTTCTACATGATTTAAGGAAGAAACATAGGGGATTTCATGGGAAAACAATGGCCATAGCTGATTATAGGGGATATATATATATTTATATTATATTATATTATATTATGTTATATTATATTATATGATATGATATGATATTATATTATATTATATTACATTATATTATATTATATTGTATTATATAATATAATATTATATTATATTATATTATATATATAGGGATGTCATGGAAAATGTGAAGCTTTTTATCATGATAGCTCGCGAAGTTGACACATCTATTTTATGCTGAACTGTTGGATTTATGGAGGGTGCCCACCTTGCAATAGCAAGACACCACAAAAATGGCATCATTCACCCAAAAAAACTGGGAAAATGATGGTCAACTACAAAACCCTAGGAAAAAGAAGTTAAATACAAGAAAAAGATTTCTTAAATACCACATTTCTCTTATTCCCTGGTTTCCCAGGGCATATTTTTATATAGCCTGGGTTTCCAGGGGTGTATTGTTATACTTTCTGGCTGGATACAAGATTGTTTTATTTTTTTCACACCCAGGGCACTGCATATCCCCACAGGGAGCGAGGGAGGGAGGGGGGCAGGGCGTGCAATTAATCTGCCCAAGATTGTATATAGACAGGTATGTATGTATATATATATGTACATGTATCTATACTAGACAGGCACAGTCCAGAGCCCATAGCAGCCCTGGCTTCCAGGGGCCCTGGCTTCCAGGGGCCCTGGCTTCCAGGGGCCCTGGCTTCCAGGGAATCATTAATAAAGAGCCCTGGCTTCCAGGGAATAATAAAGTTCACTTTATTACACTCCCTCAATTCCAGGGTGATCAAAAATCTCACACAGAAAGGGGCACTCGTCCAACGCAGGTGTCAAGACCTCAGTGGCTAAATTGGGTAACGGTGGATGTGTTTGCTATGCCTTCCCTTTGAATCATTTTTTCTCCTCTGACTGGTTTCTTTATGTTTTGATAGTATAATAAATTTGAACTGCACTTTCTAGATCCAGACATGTCAGAAACACCATGAAAAATAGTCAGTCTTGTAACTTGCAGCTTATGGTATTGCAAAGTGATTAGATTTTTCATGCACTAGATTGCAATCCAGGAAAAACAATATACCTGCTAGGATTGGTTTTGCCCCTGGCTTCTACTGTTCCAACAATAAAAAATAATCTGAACATGTTCATTGCCTAGATTTGGCAGGCTGCGTCCTGATTCCTCTGCTTCTCCAAGACCCGTCCGTGAAGAAGGCTGGGCCTTTGCACGTGAAAAAACCTCCATAAAGAAAAGGTGCCAAAAAGGAACCCCCTCCCCCCGTGGGGGGTTCCTTTTTTGTTGTTTTTGGCTTTTTGGGCAAGCCAACGGGAAAATTACAATCAAGTTCAGAATCGCATTTGGTTGTTTGGGTTCAGAATCACACGCCCCAAGAAGATCAAGCATGAATTTAATGGAAATTATGGCTATTGGACAGTGAGATCATTGTAAACCATGAATGATAAACAACCAGCTATGGCCAAGAAAGGATGGTTGGAGAAGATGAGGGACTTATATGGACTTATGGGGAATTATACCCACTGCATATGGTGATTTAAATGTGGGTGATGAGGCTTTACACCATTAAATTTATTGGTTTCACTTCATGGGCATGTCTAAGCTTTTTGGGAGAACTACATGAGGATGTTTTACATATATGGAGCATTAAAAAAACACCCTATGCCAGGGAATGAGTCAATGAGAACATAAACAAACCTGGATGCCATGGATTTTAATTAGAGCATGGGATTGTTGGTGGATGCAAAAAAACAGCATGGGTTCCTGGATGGCAAGGAAATACATCCAAATCATGGGAGTGTTTTGATTAAGATATCAATTGCCAGGGGCGACGAGGAAAATATATGATTGTGTCACCTCACTACTCTGCTGAAAAATGCCCATTATTCCACATGAAGTAGTTCCTTGATTTCTTTGTCATGATAACTGCATTTCTTTACACGATTTGAGATTAAACAAAACCAACCATTGATTGGTGGGCCAATTGTTACTTCAGTTGGGTTTGGCTGTTCTTGTAAGTGAAACCAGTAAATTTCATGGTCCAGTGCAAAGCCTCATCACCACCATTAAAACCACTATCTGCAGTGGGTAAAGCTCCCCATAAGTCCATAAGTGGCAAACAAACTTGATCTTCTCGGGGCACTGTGCGATTCTGAACTTGATTGTAATTTTCCCGTTGGCTTGCCCAAAAAGTCAAAAACAGCCAAAAAGGAACCCCCCACCCCCCCCCAGGGGGGGGTTCCTTTTTGGCACTTTTTCTTTATGGAGGTTTTCTTTAGTGGTGGCAAACCAACGGGAAAATTGCTAGAACTTGAACTACCAATTATATGGGAGCTGATTGTACAATACGAGGCTGCTTGTTCACCAAACCATGTCTCTGGACAGGTCATGCCTGATGCTTCAATGTTGTAATGTTGTGTTCTTTCTGGACTGCAAGCCTAAGGCCAGGCCATGGTTGGGGGATAGGGAGAAGAGGGGGCCATTCCAAATCACATAGAATAAGTGTTAAAATGAAACATGATGGAGGTATAAGACAATATCTTACTTGCTATTGATGTGTTTATTTTGGACATTTTTTTGATAACACCAGTGTGGGAATGAATCTGAAATTTGTATCTGGAACGTTTTGACCATCAAAGAGCACTCACTGTGCTGGACTGCAAGTCCCAAAATTACTTTACATTGCTATTGTTATGATATTATCATAGCAGTTTGAGAGATTTTCCCACATGACCCAAAAATAACTCTGTGCTGATGGGAAATGATGGCACAAATAATAATGATTATATAATGTTACAATATGGTGTTTCCAATGGAAAATACACACAATACAACTTATCCAATGATCCATGATCAGCCCATCATGTTCATATGAATATATACAAATAATAGAGTAATTGTAAAACATAGTTATAATAAAATATAATCTTATCTTTAAAAACATAATAAAGCATAATATATAATATAATTTGACATAAAGTAGCATAAGATAATATAATATAACATAATACAATATAATATAATATAATGCAATATAACATAATATAGTGCAATATAAAATTATTCAATATAACATAGTATAATATTATATATATATATTGTAATAATTTATTTAATATTATTTGATATGTAATATTATTAGTAATATAAAATGATAAATAAAATATATTATAGTACTGCATTTTAACTCATAAAAATACAACACCATTTAATATAATAATATATATTATTGTGTGTATATATATATATATGAATAAACATGTATATACCTATATATATTTATATAAATAGATCTTCCAGGCAGCCACCCTGCACTTGAGCTGCCCACAGCATACTTCTTTGACCTGCGAAGCATGGCTGGGCACAACAGTGCATACTATCAAGTGGCAATTGGCAGGCACTCTTATTTCTATATAGTAAGTTTCGTCTTTTAATAGTTAGCTAGTTGAATCATTATTAGGAAATTCCAGGTCACCTCACAAACTCTTCCTGGGCAGGTGGCCTAGCTACAATGAAGATATGGAACACATTCATTGGTCAACCCATTTGTTTGGAAGACTACAAACTGGAAAACATGAATCCAAAACCCACCCACACAAGCACAGTGCTTTTTTTACGTCCCAAATTTGGGGAATTTGCGCTCAGATCGTGAGGTTTCCATCAAATTCAGGAAATCCTCAAATGAGCTCACGTCGACCACCTGCCCTTGGGTCAGATCTCCGTTCCGAAGGATCTTGATTCGTTCAACCTTGGTGGATTTAAGATAAACAACAAAATAAATATGCAAATGCATTTAGAATCTATTCCCTGGAAACCAGGGCTAAGGTGATGTCAAACAGTCTGCAAATATAAAACATACTGAGTTACTGGACCCAGATGCCAGGGTGATAATAAAATGTGCTCCCATAATCATACATAAAGGGGGTGATGCAAAGATTATGATTCCCACCAGGCTCTGCATCGTACAAAAAGGCTGATGAAATTGTAGCCCAAGATGCTTGGGAATCAACGGGTTGCGATGTGACCCAGGAAGCTAATGCACTGACAAGTGCCGGCGAGCGATTGCGGCCGCATTTGCAATGAATCAGTAATACTCTGCCTTCAGCGATCTGACGATTGCACCAATGTAACATCGAAATGAACCTGAGAATCAAATGAGGTGTAAAAAAATACCCAGTCTACTCAGTCCCAAATCAAAAAATACCCAATCCAAACAAAACAAACCCCCTTAACCCACTGGCTTGCCACCCCAAGAGGAAAATTACAAAAAACTATGACACAATCTTGACAATAAACGTGGCCAGTGCCGTCTGGCGCCTCATCTCATAACGGATGTTGTAGGACCACACTGGGATGTCTCGGCAGTCAGCCAGCACCGATCTCTGCTCCCTGGAAACCAGGGCGATATCAAATTAAAAAGAGTTCAGGACCCACTTATCTATGAGCATGAGAAAACAAATCCACTGCACACTGATGTTGTGGGATGCAACCCATGATAAGTTATATGTGTTTCCCTGGTTTCCAGGGCTTCCTCCCCATCTTCCCATGAGAAGTTATCTTTCCAGGGCTTGTTTTTTTAATGTTCATTGACCATCCCATGAGAAGTTATCTTTCCCTGGTTTCCAGGGCTTGTTTTTTATGTACATTGACCATCCCATGATAAGTTATCTTTCTGTGGCTTCCAGGGCCCCTTTGATGCATGAACATGAGAAAACATTTTATTATCACCGTGGTATCCAGATCATCATCATCATCATCATTGATGGATCAGAAAGAAAAACTTGCAATTTTTAAGCCAGTTGACTCGAGTCCGAGGCAATTGATCACCGAGATCTTGTCCTTCTGCTGGAAGGACTTCATGTGGCACC